CAAGACAGACGGAGCTTGAAATGCTCGAATATGAAAAGCCATTCTTGGGCACATGGCGAAAAACATCTTTCTTGGGGCAATCTGTGACAATTCCCGCCACGCAGTGAGAATGTGAAGTTAACCTCGGGTCGAGGTCTGCCAGCAAGCAGTATGAATTCGATTGCAGAAGCAGCAGTCTGGTCCTCCCTGTGACAGGGAGAAGCTGCGCCAGCACCTGAGGTGTGGTCTTTGAAGCTAATGCGACGTCGAGCTCGACGAACCAGCTAGCTAGCTGCATCGCCGTTTCCGAACGTTTGCTTGCTCCCAGGGTATAGCTCTCTCTCCACGTCCGAGGCCCTGTACGGGATGGGCAATCACCTCCCCCGCCGCTTGTCTCGCTGTAATTCTTGACAGGTGATGAAGGATGAACCCTTCCTGGGCAATACCCCCAATCCTACCTGCCGTCTCCCCGGTGCGTTGGTTTCGAGTCAAGCGTCATATCTGGGGCGACCTTGAGAGGTGGGATCTACGGATGGGATAGGATAGCTTGTGGGGTTGGTGAGGTTGGAGAGAGAGAGAGAGAGAGAGAGCCGCTTGCGGTGCTACGCTTCTTGAGTGGCTAGTGCTGGTTGGGGAGGTGGTTTTCTACGGTGTACGGATACACTAGGAATGGTCTGCTGCTTTTTTGTTCCAAACATAGTACACTTTTTGACGGGCGGCTGCCAAACACGACGTCGCGACGGGGCTGCCGTACGGTCTGAAGCTGTTGTAACGCTGCGACGGCGTCTTCTTGAGGTGCTGCTACCTTGCCCGAACTTACTTGGTGAGCGGGTTTGGCGCTCGGGGTGAACTCCGAGCTGGTGGCCTGCTTTCTTTCTACTTAGAGTTTCTCGTGGCGCGTTTGGGTGAGGTGAGATTGATGAGTGTTTCTGTAACCGCGCCAGCGCTGTTTGGGGTGGTGTTTTCTCTCTCTGGAGGGGGAATACGAAGGTGTGAGACTGTAGATCACGACGATGGGACGTTGGGAGCTTGGGGGTGATTGATCTCCCTCTGCTGCCTTGGTTGAAGATGCCGAATTTTCAGGGAGATACCGGTTGTAGTAAGGGACAGACGAGGCAGAGAGAAAGAGAGAGTTCTGCAATCGTCGCGCATGGCAATCGCAGATTCCTATCGACGAACATCCCCATCCATCGTCCAGCCACCCGTTCCCGACACCGTGGGAGAGCATGCACGCCCCGTCACATCATTTAGGGTTCTGTGCGTGCTTGCGTCGGGCATGGCTTGGGGCGGCGGCGGCGGCGGCGGCGGAAAGGGAAGCTGTCGATCATCTCGTGTTGCCCGCGAGACGGGACCCCTTCGGGAGCGCAGTGCAGTGCAGTTGGACCCCTAAGAAGGGCGGCATCATATGTGGCTCTCTTGGGGCGGACGAGGGCAGGCCAGGGATCTGCCCGCTAGGGGGGATATGGCATCATGATGTAACGTTCTGACTTGCGCCAAGAGCTGAGACAATTTTGGCAGCACCGGTTTTGTGGGGAGCTGGGAGGACTTTGCGTTATTGGTTCACTTCCGCGTGTTCGTTTTGGCGGCAAGGCGGTTGACGGTTCGTTGTGGAGTTTCTGTTTGCTGCGGTGGTGGAGCCCGCTCGGTGAGGGCGGCTCGGTCGGCGGGCTTTACCGGGGTGCCGGGAATAAGGCAGGGTGAGGGAGCCGGGGACGTGCGGAGGCTGGAAGTCAGCCACGGATGTGGACACCAGCCACGGGGGAGGTGCGTCAGCCACAGGGGCATCGGTAGTTCGGTTATCTTATCGGAGGCGTTAGCGCGTCCTGCGGGGTCGCGTTGCTGGTAAATAGGTCTGTTAGTGCAGAACACTGCTGAGATGTTGAAGACGGGTCTGTAATGGGTCAACCATACTGGAAGATGCGACTTGATGCCACCGAAATGTTGATGTAAGTGATGAATACTCTGTGGATGGTCTGCAAAGAACTTCAACTCTCTAATTGCACAGCTTGCATCTAATATTTGGTCGTTTGACACCTACACCTACCTCATCGCGCCTATCGCACCCCATCCTCACAAAAGGGGTAGCGTCCTAACAGCACCTTCAAGCCTCCAACAGACTTTCCCATCTGCACCAAAAGGGGCGCCCCTGCCACTCCCAGCGGCCCAAAGACACGACCCCGGCCTCGCTGACGCCAAATTTACGCGTCCGTCGCGTCTCGGTGGAGGACCAACGCTCTCCTGCCCTCACGCAACCACCACCAACGGCTCCATCAACGGCCCTTTCCACTTTGCTCCATCCACGATTTCACCTTTTCGAGACCTACGACGCTGCCGCAGCTGTCCCCTTTGCGATCCTAAGGCGGCCAACCCATGTCTTGACGCAGTCGATGCCCTCAATTGGGATCAGACCAGTCTAATCTACTTCTCGACGTTCCTTTCGACCGCCTCAACTTTTCAACACTTCAACTCTACACCGACGAACCCCACAACCTGCAACCACTCAACCAAGCCCGACGATACACGGTCGCGACCCCTGCGACACACACAGCCCTCCGATGCCTTTGTTCGACATGTCACCCAATCTGCAGAGAAAGAACGAGATGGAGAACGGCTTGAAGCGGAGCCACGACGAGTACTCGGGCGATGAGGTCGCCATCGACGACCGCGGCCTCGACGCCGGCGTGAAGCAGCAGGCCACCGAGGGCGTCGTCCAGCCGAGCAAAGGTATCTATGCCCGACGCACCTGCCACTGCAGAGTAGATCAGTGTCCTGACGACCTAGCAGCAATGTCCCCCTCTATCGAAATCACACGCGACACCCCTCCTCCCCAAAGCAGCCCGGACTCGCTGACCACGGCGGGCACGACCACACCACCACGCGACTCACCCTCTCCCAACCCCACACCAACCAAGGCCTCGCCTCCGAAGCAGACCCAGACCGCCGGCGCCGCTCCCTCGTCACAACCGCCCGCCTCAGCGTCGGCATCGTCGACAACCCAGCCACCTGCTAAGCGCAAGCGCCGCACCGCCGCAGAGCTGGAGGCGGAGGCGAAAGAGAAGGCCCAGAAGAAGAAGGAGCGAGAAGAGGAGAAGGAGGCGAAGCAGGTTGAGAAGGCCAAGCTCGATGCCGAGAAGCAGGTAAAGCGGGCCGAAAAGGCAAAGGAGGAAGCGGAGAAGCAGGCGAAGCGGGATGAGAAGCGCCGCAAGAAGGAGGAAGAGGAGCGCAAGATCAAGGAGGAGAAGGAGAAGAAGGAGCGAGCTCAGCCGAAGCTCATGTCCTTCTTCACACCCAAGAAGGCCCCCGTCACGCCAAAGAAGGAGTCGCCAGCTGCCGCCGTCAAGACGGAGAGCCCTGCAAAGGCCTCTGCCGCCGAGTCGACACCGGCACCGACTGAGAAGGAGGAGAAGTCAGAGTATGAGAAGCGATTCAAGCCCTTCTTTGTCCACGAGACGGTCCGCATGGCCAAGAACCCCTTCGAGATGGACGAAGAGGCACACGCCGCCAAGTCGCAGATTCTGGACGAGTACATCGACGGCAAGAGGACAATGGCTGAGTCGAGCAAATTCAACCCCGTCGAGATCTTCCAACTACCCTGCCGCCCCGCACCACGAGGCAGAATCTACCCGCCCGTCAGATACACCATGGAAAAGATGCAGAAGCTCATCCAGAAGGCCGAGGGTGCCGGCGAGGAGGACAGGAAGGCAATCACAAAGGAGACCGCAGACACGCTTCGCAAGATTCCTGTGAAGACCCTGCGCTTCTGGCAGGATGTGCGCCCGCCTTACAAGGGAACGGTAACCCTCAGACCCTACCAGGCAGGTAAGGACGGCATGCGACGACTAGCACGAAACCCCACCCTGCGCGGCCTCGTGCCCGTCAACTACGACCACGACTCAGAAGCCGAGTGGGAGAGCGAGGGTGAAGACGTCGATATTGACGACGACGACGAAGAAGACCTCGATGGCGACGGCGAGGATATGGACGAGTTCCTTGACGACTCGGAAGACAACGGTCCTGCGAGGTTTGTTAGTGCCAATGGACTCGAACCTGTCAGTACGGGCGTCTGTTGGGAGGATCGCAAACGCATGGGCCCGAATCGCACCATGTACGAACACAGGATGGAATTCATTCTCGGTAAGTCACCTCCCCTACCAGACGCGTACCGCCGTGCTAACACCTGCCGCAGAGAGCCTCGATTCCCACCACAGCATCGACCCCTTTTCGACAAAATACTGGGAGCCCGAGCCGAAGCAGAAAGCACCCAAGGCTACGGCCAAGACGGCAGACACATCAGCGCCGGCCAACGCCTTCCAAGCCATTGGGGCCAAGAACACTCCGCAGTCGCTTCCAAAGAAGATCCTGGAGAACAACGTCCTGCAGGAGCTCAAGAAGGTCATCCAGGCGAACCCCAAGATTGCCAAGGGCGGCTTGATCGATCTGTCGTACGTTGCGCTCGCCCACGCCAAGGTCTCGCGCAACGACATCAAGGAGGCCATCACGACTATTGCTGAGCGTTCCGGCGGTCAAGGGCGTGCCGGCTCATGGGTCGTGAAGCCCCTGTACCTTGATTAAGGGGCACCATCAGATGTGTTGCGGATGCATGGCGTTATTTTCTTCGTTTTTATTCTTACTCGATGAGGATACCTCGGCGGACATGTCTTTATCTCACAGTTCGCCTTTTGTCAAAGTTATGGAGTGCATGGATTTTCGGAGGTACGAGGGCATTGGGATGGAGGAAATGGGCGGACAGCATTGGCATCGTCCCGTCTTATCCTCGACAAGCCGCCGGCACAGGGTCTGGCGGCGAACAGTTTGATTGCTTGCAAGCCTGCCTTCATAGGGCGGCTATGATATGACGGCATGAGGGCGGCGTATGATGGAATTATTTGGTCTTGCACGGATGCATAGTTGTGCTCCGACCACCGGCGTTAGAGAGGCTGGTAGATATTAGGAAAAGCCTTACATTTCATTGGATGCTAGCGGTACGTGATGTCGTCCGTCTAAATGTGGCTCTACAGAAGCTACTCCTTGACTGAACGAGCATACCTCTCCGGAAACACCCCCTCGATATCAGCCAGGACCTGGATAGCAGTGAACCTCGACTATTGACCATTAGCATAAGACCAACATGGCAACCGGGGGCAGCAAACTCACAATCCCTCGACAGAAAATGAGTCCAACCCCAGAAAAGTACAGATTCGGATCTGCCACAACAGTCAGTCACATCATCATCACCCATCCCCGAAGCAGTACTCACGTCCAGAGAAGGTCGTAACCCCAACCCACTCCCCCTCCTCATCCACCCCAATCCTCCCAACATTCTCAATCCTCCCCGCCGTCTCCTCGTCCACGAACCCGCTCTCCGCCCACATGCTCGGCACATCAACGTCCCCGAACCCCGTCGCGAACACCACCGCGTCCGCCTCAACCACCCGCTCCGCCCCGGTGTCCCTGTCCACGACGACGACCCCGCCCTCCGCGAAGCCGCGCGCCTCGCCGCGCTCGATCGCGATCTTGCCGTCGAGCACGAGCTGCAGGGTCCCCGGCTGGTCGACGTAGAACGCGCGCCCGCGCTGCTCGAGCTGCGTGGAGACGACGCACGGGGAGCGGTTGACGAGGTAGCCCGCCTCTTCGAACTTCTCCGTGCGGGAGGAGTGTTGGGCCATGATAGAAAGGATGGCGGATTGGGCGAGGGTGCGGGCGACGCCGACGGGGAGGGCGGACTCGGCGAAGTCGGCGGACTCGGGGGCGTTGGGGAGGGAGGTGTAGCGCGCGGTGATGAGGGGGAGGAAGGCGGGCATGTCGAGGAGGACGGTGGGGCTGCGCTGGAGGATGGAGACGGAGGGGACGAGGGGGGAGAGGGCGAGGTCGGCGGCGATGTCGTGCGCGGAGTTGCCGGAGCCGATTACCAGGACGCGTTTGGAGGCGAAGGGGGCGGGTGTGTGGTAGGACGTGGAGTGGAGGACGGGGCCGGGGAAGGAGGGTGGTGCGGGGGGCGACATGGCGGGCAGTTTGAGGTTGGACGGGGAGAGGATCCAGCCGGTTGAGAGGATGAGGTTGCGCGCGAGGAGGGTGGTGGTGTGAGATGTGAGGGTGTCGGTGAGGTGGACGGTCCAGAGGTTGGTGGTGGGGGACCAGGTGTTGCGGGTGACGGTTACGCCGCCGAAGAAGGGGAGGCGGAGGTCCTCGACGGCGGCGCGGTAGTAGGATGTTAGTTGCGGCCCGGAGAGGAACTCGGGGAGGGAGGACGGGACGGGGTAGTCGGGGAGTTGGATCATGGACTTGGGGTGGTGCAGGCGGATGGAAGCGTAGCGGGCGGAGGACCAGTTGCCGCCGGCGAGGGGCTCTGTGTCGAGGACGACGCACTCTGCGCCGGCGCTCTCGAGGCGGATGGCGTTGGCGATGCCGTTGCAGCTGCCGCCGACGATGACGGCGTCGAGGATGGTGGACGGGGGGAGGGAGGGCAGGCCCTGGGCGGAGGAGCGGCCGCGCTGGGAGGACGGGAGGAGGGAGGAGGAGGAGCGTGGGAGGGGGTTGAAGGGGCGGGAGAGGAGGGCGTGGACTTGGGTTGTCAGGCCCCAGATCTTGAAGGTTGTGGAGGAGGAGGTGGTGGTGATGGGGACGAGCTTGGCGAGGCCGGTGCAGGAGGTTGCGGGGTGGGCGCAGTGGAAGGCGAAGGGGACCTCGAGGGTTGCGAGGGTCGGGGAGAGTCTGACGAAGGCGGGCTTGAGGCCTTTGAGCTCGGGTTCGGGGGAGAAGGTGGACGGGGACCGGGTCGAGGAGAGGGATTCCCAGGCGCGGAGGATGGCGGCGCGGCCGATGATGGTGCGCTTGTCGAAGGTGAGGGTCAGGCTGTCCCTCCACCAGGACTCTTCGATGAAGAGGTCTGCGAAGGAGGGCCAGTCGGCGTTGGTCACGGCATCGGAGAGGGCTGTGAGGAAACGGGATGCTTCGGCGGCGACGTCGACAGTTGATTCGGAGGGGAAAGGGGGCACGGAGGGGATGGGAGAGGGGAGGTCTGCGACCTTGGTGCGGGTGCGGTGGTTCGTGAGGGTCGTCATTGCGGCTGATTGTTGATGAATGAGATGGAGGTGATGTATGAAGGGCAGTGTGGTGAGATTCTGAGGCTGTAAGTCTGGGAACTTGAGGGCTTTGGCTTCATGAGACTTTCCGAGAAGTACCTGAAGATGGGAGGCTTTTATACCAAGATATAAGCACTCTAGATGAAGAAGCCTGCGTATAATATCACAGTGGCCAGTCATATTGAAACATCAAGCATATGGATCAATGTACAGACACTTTGAGCACATCAGCAGCCAAACGGTCCTTCAGTAAAGACATACAAAATTACTGATGCAAGTAAGATCCAGAGCGGGAAATTCGCAACAACGTCCAATCACACCGAACTGGTCTTACCGCTCGCAGCAGTCTTGAGACTCCAATACTGCGGATCTACAAACCATGCATGAACTTGATCACATCGTCACAGATCCTCAGGAGGGCTCAATAGAAGTGCAGTCTGGGATGTGACGTCCACCCGGATTTCACGGCGGAGTTTAGGATGGGGTCCGGGGATTGCGGGCGAGAGCTCTTGGGTCGCGCTATTCCTCGGTTCGTATTCCATTCGTCTCTAATTCGTGGATTGGGTTTGGGAAGCTGACCGGGGAGCGTACCTGGACATTGGAGGGGGAGGTCTTCTCAAAGAAGCAATCTTTCATGGTATCCAGATACGTTGATTGGCCCCGTTGGATGTTGCTTCGGGAATATTATTTCAACTGATTGATTTGACACGCGGGCTCAGCGGGAAAAGCATGCAATGTTCTGATAGACACGATTACCATGGGAGTGTGTCAACATCATAGAATGAGACGGAGACGAGCAGCAGGCTGGTGATACAGGTGGAAGTTTTGGCCATGGGGGCCAAATCTTGGTGTTGGTTTGGGGGATGCATGGAAATTGTTAAGCGACATCATGTGGGCGGGATAGTGACGTGACAACGTGTTCGCCTCATCCCAGCCCCCGAAGAAACACCATCATTGGAATCAACATTCAAGTCATCTAGATATCCCACGTACTTCAATCGCCATGGCCGCAAAGACGTCAAAGGTGGAGCGGACAACGATCGCGGGGTCCATCGAGATACCCCGCATCCTCAACGGCCTCTGGCAGCTTGCCGGCGGCCACGACCAGGACGTCAACGTCGCGGCCGCCGCAGAGGCCATGAAGCCTCTGTAAACTGCCACGGCTTCACATCACGTATCAAAAACATGGACTGACGTCGTGTAGCATCGACGCCGGGCTGGACGCCTTCGACATGGCAGACCACTACGGCCCCGCTGAGCTCGTCCTCGGCGAGCACGCCCGCACCACCGCCGGCGACGCCCGCCCCGTCACGGCGTTTACAAAGTGGTGTCCGCCCGAGACCGGAGATAAGTCCCTCGCAACCGCCGAGGCGGCCGTCGACCGCGCGCTGGCGCGGATGGGCGCGGCGCGGATCGCGCTGATGCAGTACCACGTGTGGGACTACACGGACGACACGTACCTGGTCAACCTGGCGCACCTGCGGACGCTGCAGGCGCGGGGGAAGATTGCGCATGTCGGGCTGACGAACGTGGATACCGCGCATCTGGAGATGCTGCTGGACTCGGGGTATGAGATTGTCTCGAACCAGGTGTCGGTGTCGGTGGTTGATTTGCGGGTTGTGAAGGGACGGATGGGGCGGGTGTGTGAGGAGCGAGGGGTGGGATTGCTTGCGTATGGGACGCTGCTGGGCGGGTTCTTGGGTGAGAGGTGGGTTGGGATGGAGGAGCCGACGGAGGAGGGGTTGAACTGGAGTTTGAGGAAGTATTTGCGGTTTATCCAGGTTGCTGGAGGGTGGAAGGCTTTTCAAAGTGTTCTTGAGGCGGTAGCTGGTGTCGCGAAGAAGCATGGTGTCTCGGTTGCTGCTGTTGCGATGAGGTGGGCGTTGGATGTTCCGGCCGTGAAAGCTGTCATCATCGGGGCGAGACTGTCTGAGCAGAGCTGGGAATATGCCGAGAAGAACATCGAGGCGTTCGGGTTCAAGCTTGATGAGGATGATCGGGCTGCGATTGAAAAGGCGCAGGAGGGCTTGGAGGATATACCGGGCGACTGCGGCGACGAATACCGACGGCCGCCGTTCATGACGGCCTCCGGGGACCTGAGTGATCATATCAAAGAAAGCAATGAGATGCAAAAGGTGGAGGAGGCCATCGCCATGGGGAAGAGGGTGGAGTTCCACTCGGGGAGCAAGTGGGAGCCGATCTGTGGCTACTCTCGCGCGGTGAGGGTTGGAAATGTGATCAGAGTGTCGGGGACCACGGCGAATCCACCGCAAGAGCTGCAAGGCCAGCTGGGGGTGGTCGGAGGAAAGTCTGCAAAGTCACAGGCCTTTGCGGCGCTTGATATCATTGAGAGGGCTGTGAGGCGACTTGGGGGGAACATGGCAGACGTGGTGCGGACGAGGGTGATGCTTCAGCGAGAAGAAGACGTTGAGAGTGTATCGGCGGCTCACGGATGGGTTTTCAACTGTCGAGGGGTCTGGCCTGCGAATACAACAACGACGGCTGGGCTGGTTGGGGACGAAGTTCTGGTTGAAATCGAGGCCGAGGCGGTCGTTGGGAGTGGGAAGTCTGTCGTCGCCATTTCATGAGCAGATCTCACAGCTTGCAGTAGAGAAAGCACCACCAAGAAGTTCAAATCAAGATACAAGTACAAGAACACCCTAAAGAAGGTTTTGCTGTTGTTCTATTTTTCGACGCTATAGGCTCGCTCTCTAGGGCGTAAGGCAACACTTAAATACCTAGCATAAGCCATTGCCACTGTTACCACCCTGAGGTTTGACGTTTCTGACATAAGAAGAAAAAAAAAAAAAAAAAAAAAAGAANATACCACGCCTAGCGCAACAAATGACGACCATTAACCCCAGCAAAAAAGATGATTTGAAAGGGACGAGACTCGAACTCGCGCGGGTTGCCCCCCCAGGAAACAGATGTTAAGCTGACCTTAACCTGGCGCCATAACCAACTCGGCCACCCTTCCGATGTTGCGATAATAAAGAATTTGAATCCATATTGCTCACAGCTGGCACCAGAAACGCCTTGTCTCCACCTGCGAGATGTTCGACTGCTCAATGAGAACCCCCAAATCTGAGAGCTTTCGGGCTTTGGATTGAATTAGACAAATAAAGAGTCGGAATCATCTTCAGGAATGATCACATTCGAGAGTGTCGTCTTGTCTTCAGCGCGCTTAGCCCGCAGCAATTGCAGGGGTTTCAGTGGCTGAAGAGCAGGCCGAGACGAAACTGGTCCACTCCACAACAAGGCCTTCATTGTTGGTTCTGGTTTCCATGCTGAGGCGAACCAACTGCCTTGCATTTAGATGCCTATTTTTATGATGTTGTATTAGTCATAGTTGGTGGAGTATTTGGTCAGATATGACTTTAAATAGCAGCGTGCGGCACCAAACCCGACCACTTGATCGTGTATCCTCTCAATCCTCACTTAAAAGGCTCACTTGACACCTAACTTTGACAACTTCGCTTCCAGTCTACCATGTCACAATTCAAATTTCGTCCTCTAGAGGAGGCTGACGCAATCAGGCTTTTGGTTCTCCATCCTTCCCACGAGACAACAGCGCCTCTATCCAGCTCCCTGATCAATACTACTCTGTCTGTATGCGACTCTGACTTCGTCAACGGCTATCTGGCTCTCTCGTATGTATGGGGAAATCCGGCCCGCACATCATCTATCCAGATTGACGGGATCGACGTGGGAATCACGGATAATTTGGCGGAAGCTTTGACTCAAGTCCGCAATGCCTACCCTGGAACCCCCCAGCGAATCTGGGCCGATGCTCTCTGCATCAACCAGTCGGACACTGCAGAGAAGAATAAACAAGTGCCGCTCATGGGCAACATCTACTCTCTTGCCAAAACCACAGTCATCTATCTTGGCCCCTTATCACCCGCGATCGAGACGATCTTTAAGGCTGTTCACGACAGCAAGCCAGAATTCGTCAACGTCGACGCCACGGGAAACTCCCGGATCGCGCTGGCTAGAGATCTGCAGCAGCTGAAGAAGGTCGACGTAAAAGCCGGCTCAGAACCCCCGGCCGCCGCCATCGAAGAGCTGCTTCAACGGCCATGGTTCACCCGCGTATGGGTCACTCAGGAGCTCCTTCTATCCCGCGACGCATGGGTCCAGTGCGGTGCTCTTCGCGTGAGATGGAGAGAACTTGGTGCGCTTCTGGCTCCCATTCTGGACCGAACAAAAGGAGAAGGCAGCACCGCTTTGCAACAGATGCACTCACTAAGCTTGGATGATGAGGAGGAAATCATTCTAGGTCAAAGATCGATGTACTCCTCGGGAATTCCCAAGGTAACAAAAGAAAAACCCTCGCTCTCACGCATCCTACGGATGAGACAGGGATGCCGCGCCACCGATCCTAGAGACATGATCTTTGGATATATGGGTATGCATGCCGACCGGGATAAAGTCGCCGAGTTCTTCACGGTGGACTACGAAATGCCGCTGAGGCAGCTTCTCATTTTGACGGCCAGGTACATCCACAGTCGAGACGGACTGGAAGTGCTACTCCGTTGTGTCAAGCGCCCACCCACCAACAACTGGTTGAACCTGCCTTCGTGGGTGCCTGACTGGGGTATCCATGAATGGTCGCAAGCGACGAGCAACACAAATGCCACGATATCGGCGGACGAGATTCTACCCAGCACCTTGGAGAAACCCCTCCCAGGCTCCAGTTATTTGCCTCATCAGGATCCCAAGTTCATTCGATACGTCAGCCCTGTCCTTCCCCGCCCACAAGACGTCCCTCAGTGTGTAGTTGATTTTGTCAAAAGAGCCGTCTACGCTATGCGAGAGTTCGGCTACTGGAATTATAAGGAACAGAAAGAGCTCATAGAAGTGGAGAACGTTTCTTTCTGGAGAGACCTGGACATTGGATCGTCCGAAACGCAGAATCCCAACCCGATCAGGCTCTTCCCAGACAGCTTCTGGGACTTGCCTGCGGAAGATGAGGGAGAATCCCCACGGAAAAACACCCACAGCCCCACGAAGGGGGAACGTCACAAAGCGATACTCGCTACCAGGGCATTCCAGACTCTCTCTTTCTTCAAGACTTACGTGGGAAGCGGGACTATGTCTGCTTCAGACTTTGAAGATGCCTTCAAGTGGGATCTTTACGAAGGACAGAGAATTCGACTAGCGCTATCTGCTGCCGGTTTTGTCCTTGCGGTGCCAGCCTATGTAGAGGTGGGAGACGTATTCATGAGGCTGGACCGTTGCTCGTCTATAGACCAGAAAACCCATTCCGAAAACGACTATTTTGGCGGTTTGTTGAGGCCGCTTGGAAAAGACACAGGCGACTCTCGTATAGAGGCCTTTAAGTGGCTTTGCTTCGGCGGTGTTCCTCTTTGCAAGGAAGACTGGTATAAAGGCGGGTGGGAGACTAAATTTGACATGCGCATGATGCGGAGACTGCTCCCCACTGAAGTCGATAATAACATCTTGAAATGGTATGATGGCGATTCTTACATAAAAACTGGAAACCTTAAGTACATACAGCTCTACTAAGGCTAGCTGAAGTTGAAACGGTACAGGCTTGTAAAATAGAATTTTGTTTACACGTGCGTCCTCATCTTTATGATTGAAGTGCTCTAGTTATTGCGTTCTGGGCTGCAGCAGATATTGATTGGTCTTGCTTGTGTTTGTCATATCTAGACGAAGTGGCTCTGCCTACACGCCACCCCTTTCACCGCTGCTCCGCTGTCCCAATATATGCGGTCCTCAAGGCCTCGGCCCGCTCACTTCAAATCCATAGTATCCACAGACTTGAGGATCGTAAACGTCCTGTGATTGCAGTCCTTATGCACCTGAGAGTGGTCATGGGGAGGATCACACTCTGCGATGGTGCCCGTCGGATGGTGCTTCAAGCAAGCCGGCAGCACGCCGCCGTGGTTATTCGGAGGGCAGTAATCATTGACCTTCTTCAGGCGGTAGAGTAGTGACTCGTGAAGCACGGCATCCTTGGGTATATCGCGCGTCTCCCCCTTGTTGAGCGGAAAGCGCACGTTCTCCCATTCGCCGTCTTCAAGCTCCCAGCGCTTGATGAAGGGGAGCCATTCTGTTCAAGCTGCGTTAGCAATTATCTTCAAGGACATGAAGAGGGCTTACCCATGAGCTTCCACAACAAGACCGTAAAGAATCCCGTTCCGGTATTAAACGCGAGCGAGTCGTGGATGGGGGCCTTCATCGCCTTATGCTTCTTGTCTGCATACTTGCCCTTGAAGTGCTTCAACTTATCCTCCCGCCATTTGAGCGCAGCCTCGGGGTGCTTCTTGCCCACCTCCTCGACTTCGCCAATCATCCACGCCAGCGCAACATCACTGAGCTGCAATCTGTCGCACCCAATTGCCTTCCCCTTGGGCGGCTTGCGCGTGGAGAAGAAGTTCTTGATCGTCTCCCACCACGTCATCTCAGCCTGGCCGCCTTCGAGGGGGTTCTTGTCCGAAGCGGGCCACCCGCCGCCGACATCGCCGTGGCACCCGGGGAACCAGACCTCCAAGATGTCCTCGTGGGCCTCCTCGCCCTTCTTCATGTCCTGCGCCATCAGCGCGGCCTTGAACTTGACGCGGCGCTCGTCGACGGCGACCGCGTGGCGCACGTGGTGCGCCGTGCCGACGACGGGCACCGGGATCGGCGCCTTGCGCTCGAGGATGGCGACGGAGTTGACGCAGTCCCAGATGCCGAGGAAGTGCACCTTGATGTTGGACTCCTTGCCCTCTTTCTGGTCCGTGTCGCAGTGGGACGAGACCTCTTTGCGGCAGAAGGTGTCCGAGAACGCGGCGATCTCGTCGGCTGCGACTTCAAAGTTGTGGCCGTGGACGGCGGGGTCTTCGCCCTCCTGGTGATCGTGGGTCTCCACGTCGGCTTCTGTGTCGTCCAAGAGAGGCTGCGTCTCGCTGTGGCCATTGCCGTTGCCGTTGCCATTACCGTTGGCAGCGGCAAGGGCAGCGGCTTTTTTGGCTGCCTTTTTCTCGGCCTTCTTGGCGGCCTTCTCCCTGTTCTTCTTCTTGGGGTGGGAGACGATGAAGTCCTCGACCTCTCCGGCGAGGTAGCGCTGGTAGAGACGGTAGGCGAAGGGGACCATCTCCTCGTTGCCCTTGCAGAGGAGGCCGACCGTGCTGATCATGCGGGCGAGGAACTTGGCTGTGAAGGCGCCGCGGCTAAAGCCGAACATGTAAATCTTATCCCCCTGATGAATTGAATTAGTACCATGGTAAGATGGTAGAAGAGGAGAGGCTTACGGAGTCGTAGTAACGCATCAGGAATCTGTATCCAGCCATGACGTGGGCATCGAAAGTGTTGCCGATGCCTTGGTCAACGGTCTGTGAGATGGAGCTTTGCATCTCACCGAACCAAGTCTTGTTAACGGACTTCTCGTTAATGTCATACGTGCCGATTCCGGCTATTAAGTGGAAGCGATCAGCAGCAAAGAAATAATTAGTCAAAATGAAGAACGACTTACTCTGGTAGTAATGGTACTGATCAGGATCGTTGCGGTCCAGCTTGCTCAAGAGCTTGACGACATTGGTGTCGGCGTTGGTGCCGGTGAAAGTGTTACCTGTCCCATCAAAGCAGAGAACGAGCTTTCTGGGTGTTCGCTCGCTCCCAGGGTGCTGGCCCTGGGTTGTCGCGCTCCCGTTTGCATGGCCGTTAAGTACGCCGGGCATAATGTCTGACAACACGAGTGAAATGCTAGTAAACGAAAATCTCTGGTTTAAAATCTCTGGTTTGGATATGTGCGAACTACAAGCTGGCTGTCTCCAGAGGGCTTTGACACCCCATATATCAACTATCTCTGTCACAAGCAAGCTTCCCTAGCTGAGCAGCTCGCCACCAATACCAAGATAGCCACTGATTATCGTCAATCCAGGTGGCGGGCGTTTTCTGGCTAGTTGCACAACGTTCAGACGGCCGGAGATCATCGAGATCATCAACCAAGACCAAACCAAGAGGGAGAGGAACGTACGTCACCTCGTATACACGGCGAACGGCAGCGCGTCGTCCTCCCAACCCCTCATCTCGTGTCTTACACATCAGCTCCCCGCAGGGCTTTAGACATATCTCCTTTTTGGCGTCTAGCATCTGATAACCAATAAGCCACTGGGTAAAAGAAATCTGGCACGCGACCGGTGAACGTTCGTTCGCGGAGAGCACCCGTCGATCGGTTGAACCAGGCGGCGGCACGGCAGCCCGGCACCCGGGGTGCAACCGCCTGTCTGCCCTCAGACATGTCGTGCTTATTCAACACATCTGTGCCAGCTACTAGAACACGTAACTTTCCCTGGTCTAACCGCGGCCAAGAGAGATCTGCGAATGACAGCGGAAGGTTATCGTGTAGTACAATCGCACGGCAACCGGCGTTACCAGTGGTGGGTCGGCCAGTCCGCGATAACCCGAGTCACCCGCATGTCGTGTAATCAACTCTGAACACTACGTGATAGGCAAGAGGACGGTTTCGATGCTGGTGGATATAAGCCTAGAAACAAAATGTCTGAGACCCAGCCTCCGCGCCGAGGTCCCCTCCTGAGGGGGAAGGGGACAATATGTGAGCTGTCAGAAAGCTCGTTACCATATCAGGCCACAAGCTCAACCGTTCTGATTCAACGAGCTGGATACAGGAGCTTTTTCATCGACTATTTCGTACATGCTTGTCTCAGCTTCTCTACTCTTGTAACCCAATCTGGATATATGCTGCAGCCTTCCGCCGATCACCTGTACGCATTGTACGCAGGGCGAGTCAACAGCCGCTCAGCGCGGGGAAGATAGCTTTATGTCTCAGCAATAAAAAAGTGTAAGCCGGCCCGCGTTGAGCAAGGAAAACAACGCACATGAAAATGTCTTAGAACCGTCCCGCAATGCAGCATGCCTAGACAGGCGGTCAGCGGCATTTGAGGTTCCCGTCGGGGACCCCGCCGTGGCTTCTGCCAATCACGCAAGCCGTGATGACCATTCTCAGCATGCAAGACATCGTAGCCGCTGTTTCACGACATGGTTGAAGCTAGCCGGGAAAACCCCTCAATCGTCCAAGACATAGGAGAAAGTTACAGATGCCAAAGCAAGGTGACGAAAGCTGTCTAGGGGCACTAATGTAGCTAAGGAAGAGCTGAAAACATCGCGGCCTATCTGATGATCTGACAACAGTCCCGGGGTAAAGTTGGGAAAGACGTCACCATCTCGACAATGTCAATTGGATGCTGACCACCCTTCGCCACGACGTTAGGCTAGCTCCGGGGATCGATCATCTTAAGCATGTCTGAGCCTTAGGGACTCGGAGTGCCTGCAGACGGTGCGGGCCGTTTGGGACGGGAGCCGGTTGCGTGAGTGTTGGAGGACGCAGATCTCAACCGTAGACGCACCTCGGTCCAAATCTGTGCCTTCTCGGCCGCCTTGGTGCGGCTGGCCCAATGTCACTCTTCGGCTGGCATCCCTTCCGTTTCCCCTCCATTCCGCTCCGTACTCTAACGCCGTACATGCCTCCGTCCTGCCAAATTCTCTTCTGCCTCTTGGCACAAACCTTTCTGCATACCCCGCCCCGTCGTGGCTTTCTGCATGTCTCCGGTTGCCGTTGATCGTTACCCGAGGGCGATGGAAGGAGAGCCAGTGAAGCTTCCTGCAATGTCTCGGGGACAGCTCTTTCACCGCATTTCGAGCGCGTTTTCGGCCAGAGGCTACATTCTCGAGGTTGGCCCGTGTCTCTCCGGGCCGCTAATCTCGTGGAACGGGGGGCGGTGATGCACCGAAACGGGGTTGCGAGCGCGTAGATCCATGTTCCGCGCGGTTGAGCGAGACGCCACCGAAGTGCAGACGAGGAGGTCAGGGGATGATGTTGTTGCGTTGCCCCGCAGAGGGGTCGAGGGAAATGGGAGATTCGGTTGAGAATGGGTTTGGTATAAGTGAGGTATGAGGGCGGCGATGGAAATGTGATCCCGGGCCAGATATCTCCTCTCACATCCTTTCTAACCCTGTTCTTTGCCCGTATACCAAGCATTGGGCAGATTCATGGCGTTCAACACAAAGTTCCAGGCCGGCGAGTCCTACGGGGACGAGCGCAAGGGGTCTAACAACTTCTTCGCTGACCCCAAGAAGGTCGCCATGGATATCATCAAGGACCTGGGCGGTGCCCACGGCCAGCTCAACCCCTTGGAGCTTACTGCTCTTATCCAACAGCTTCTCCAGAAGGGCGAGCCTCTTGATGACAAGAAGGGGTAAGTTTGGAATCAAACCATAGGTGACAAGAAGTCTAACGATGAGTAGAACCACCGAGGCCTTGATTGGCATCTTGACCTCTCTTCCATCCGGGTCAAATACCAGAGTACAGCTCACCAATAAGCTCATTGACACGCTGTGGGGAAACCTCCAACATCCTCCCCTGAGCTACGTCGGCGGTGATGTCAAGTATGAGGTCGTCAAGACCAAGGAACAGCTCGCCAAAGAGCAGGCCGACCTCGCAGCCCAGGGCAAAGCCACCCAGTCTCCCGAGGAAAGCCACATCACCTTCAAGGCCCCAGACTTCCCCGACATCACCCTGCGCGAGCACCTGCCGACGCCGCCGGACGGCCTACACAACTACAGAATGCCCGACGGCAGCTACAACAACATCCTCGAGCCCAACCTCGGCGCGGCCGGCACCCCCTACGCCAAGACGGTCAAGACCGAGAAGCGGCTCGCCGGCGTCAAGCCCGACCCGGGCCTGCTCTTCGACCTCCTGATGGCGCGCGACGACAAGAAGTTCACCGAGAACCCCGCCGGCATCTCCTCGATGCTCTTCTACCACGCCTCCATCATCATCCACGACATCTTCCGCACCAACCGCCACGACCTCAACAAGTCCGACACGTCCTCGTACCTCGACCTCGCGCCGCTGTACGGCTCCTCCTTCAAGGACCAGCTCGAGATCCGCACCATGAAGGAGGGCAAGCTCAAGCCCGACACCTTCCACGAGAAGCGCCTGCTCGGCCAGCCCGCGGGCGTCAACGTCATGCTCGTGCTCTACAACCGCTTCCACAACTACGTCGCCGACATCCTCCTCAAGATCAACGAGAATGGCCGCTTCACGCTCCAGACCACCAAGGACGCCGCCCCGGAGGACCAGGCCAAGGCTGTCGCGAAGCAGGATCACGACCTCTTCAACGTCGCGCGGCTGGTTACCGGCGGGCTGTACATCAACATCTGCCTGCACGACTACCTGCGCGCCATCACCAACACGCACCACTCCAAGAGCGACTGGACGCTCGACCCGCGCGTCGAGATCGGCAAGCAGTTCGACGGCGAGGGCGTGCCGCGCGGCGTCGGCAACCAGGTCAGCGTCGAGTTCAACCTGCTGTACCGCTTCCACTCGTGCATCTCCAAGAAGGACGAGCGCTGGATCGACGGCTTCTTCGCGAAGCTGTTCCCCGGCCGCAAGCCTGAGGACCTTCAGAACGTCGGCATGGAGGAGCTCGGCGCCGCGCTGATGAAGTTCGAGATGGGCATTGACAAGGACCCGAGCAAGCGCACGTTCGACGACCTGCAGCGCGGGGAGGACGGGAAGTTCAGGGACGAGGACCTGGTGCGGGTGCTGAAGGAGGCGATGGAGGACCCGGCGGGCACGTTTGGCGCGCGCATGGTGCCGAAGGCGCTCAAGATTGTCGAGATTATGGGCATCAAGCAGGCGCGCGCGTGGCAGGTTGCGTCGCTCAACGAGTTCCGTGACTTCTTTGGCCTGAAGAGGCACGACACCTTCAAGGACATCAACTCGAATGAGGAGATTGCTACTCTACTCGAGAAGCTGTACACCGATCCCGACATGGTGGAGCTGTACCCCGGTCTGATGATCGAGGACATCAAGCCCGTCCGCAACACCGGCAGCGGCATCTGCCCGACCTACTCCGTGGGCCGCGCCGTGCTTTCGGACGCCGTGACGCTCGTGCGTTCCGACAGGTTCAACACGATCGACTACACCGTCTCCAACCTCACAGCCTGGGGCTACAACGAGGTCCAGCAGGACTACAAGACCCTCGGCGGATCGATGCTCTACAAGCTGATCCAGCGCGGCCTGCCGGGCTGGTTCCCGTTCAACTCCATCGCCGTCATGCAGCCCATGTACACCAAGAAAGCCAACGAGCGCATCGCGCGCGAGATCGGTACCTTCAACCAGTTCACCCTCGACGACCCCAAGGCCCCGCCCAAGCCCGTCGTCGTCGCCTCGACCGAGGGCATCAAGCGCGTGCTCGGCAGCCCGGACAAGTTCGTCGTGCCGTGGCTCACGCCGCTCAACGCGCTCTACACGGACACCAAGAAGGACATCAGCTGGTTCATGCTCGCGGGCGATGGTAGCACGAACAAGCAGGAGAAGGTCAACTTCGTCAACGCGATGAAGAAGGTGCCGAACCTGCACAACGCGGTGCACCAGTTCATCGAGCGCGTGGGCCGGCAGCTCATCGAGAAGGAGACGTTCAAGCTCAAGGAGGGGCTGTGCCAGATGGACATCATCCGCGACGTGGCGATCCCGTTGAACGCGCAGCTGCTGGCGGACCTGTTCTACTTTGACCTGCGCCACGAGGAGAACCCCGGCGGCACGCTCAGCGCGACGGACCTGTACCGCCACCTGCTGAACATCCGCATCTGGGGCGTGAACAACAACGACCCCGGCCAGGCGTGGAACCGCCGCCGCCGCGCTGCGGAGAGTGCC